ATCGCCTGTAAGAGCCTTATTAGAAGGGTGTCTTAATTCTATTTTAGTTTAGTGTTGTTTTCCAAAGTTCCCAAGAAGCATGTTGACCTATTAACAGCTTATGGAGGTGACTTTTATATAACAGTGCATTCCTACCGAAGAATAATGTCAGCCACAAATGCAAACTACACTTAAATTTTAAGGCTTCCTACTATGACTTAAAAAAAAAAAAAGCAAGAAGAAACTGGTCAAAATACTCTTATTAATATAGTTTAATTCATATATAAAATATTCTTATTGCAACATTTCATATAAAAATACTGAGATATTTTGGTCATACCATGTTTCCAAAGTCTGGAATTTTTCACCTATGGAACATTGCACTTTGAACAAGCCATATTTCAAATGATCACTAGCCACATGTGGTTGTTGGCTGCCATATTGGATAATGGAGATCAAGGAGACTTCAGAAGCAACAGATCTGGATCCAGAAGTCCTCACCCAGTGAGACTCAGGCATGTTGACAAGAATTCTCATGCATCTTAGGTGCCGCAAATGAGAGTTTAGTCTTTGTTCTGTGTGTTTTAACTGCAGTGGTAGATATTTGGCATAGGGAGGGTTTGCCATAATAATCTCTTCCATTTGACCTTTCACCTTACCTTTGTTTCTGTGATCTCTAAAAAGCATTGGGGTTAGTATAAAATAGACACTGGTAGTATGAGGTTAGTATATGAAGTTAGTATAAAATAGGACACTGTCTCTGTTTTACCTGTGTCTTCTAAACCATCCATAGCTTGCAACACAGTATCATTATGGTAGGTTCTACAAAATCCACTTGCCTCTCCTCCTAGGTACTTTGTGGAGACACTTCAGTTAAATGATAAATTTTCTTGCTTCTGTTTCACCTTCAGTACTTTCTCAATTCTGTGCTTTTGTTTATTTCATGCTACTTCATTGTACCAACTCTGAATCAATGAATCCAACTCTGAAACAAATAGGTAGGATTTGTTTATTTCCAACTTGTGTAGCTCTAGATGAGACCTCTTCTTTGAGAATGTCTTCAGAAAGAATAGTGGCTTTTGGTGTGTCAGGAAATTCACCAGGAATAATGAAGCTACAAGACCTATACCAGGAATAAGAAAATAGCAATACTCACTGATGGGGAAAATATGTCTATCAAAATGAAAGTTAAGTAGAGGGAATTGTTAGTGAGGGAAGCTGCCACCTCATGTCCACTGCCAAAGGACCAAAGGAACCAGCCAAGCCTCTCTTAATTGAGTAAAATGACTATCAGCCATGATACTAAAACAGAGATGGTTTTCATAAATAGGGTTGATAGCAGGATTTTTCCAACTTCTGATTGCTGTCTGGCAGTGGGCCCCTTAGGAAAAAAAATATCTTTAGAGTGCCAAATTCAGAAGATGATTTTGTCCAACTTGTTACTGCCATATTTTCTGAATCTCTTAAAATAGAATTGAATCATAATTTCGAAAAAAGGCCCAATGTGCAAAAATGGATGGATATATAGGATGAATCCAGGTTTGTGAGACATATCTCTGCCCCACGAGTAGCAAGATATTTCTTAAATTCAAAAATTGCACTGAAGGGCCCTCCCTGGTGGCCAGTGGGTGTTAAAGCACAGCACTGTGAAGCTATCCACAGCTACTGGCACGTGAGTTTGATCCCCGGCTAGGGAGGTGACCCACATGGCAGGGCAAACCTCTCCTGACCTGCTTGCTGCTCCTCTCTGTACTGTATTTCACTCAATCTACCTGTTCTGCTCCCCACTCTGTCTCTGGTGAATCCTCTTACCGCCCCCCCTCCCTGAATTTCTGGCCTGTACCCAAGTTCTTACATGCATAAATAAATAAATCTTTAAAAGAATTGCACTGTAGCATCATGGGTTTTTTACATTGTACTAAGAGTGGAGACTGCCCTAAATGGTTCTCTTTTGGAAATGGAAATATTAGCTACTTCTTAATTCTTTCAAAGCAAATCCAGTGTATTCATTCTGTCTTCTGTCTTCTTACACTTTTACTCCACTGCCTGACATTCTCTCTCTCATTTCCCCCTTCCTCCCTCACACATACAAACACACTCTATCATTTTTGAGTCAACACTAGTTAGCTAACATGTAAGGTAAAAACTGTATGTAGGATTTGTTTGTGACCTAAGAGGATTCCCCTTGGCACTATGATAAATGGACCAGCATCTTAGAAACAAGCTACCTCAGTGACTCAGCTCAATCTCTGAATAAATAAAATCTCTGAGAAAATACTACAGGCTGTCAAGCCTTTGGGGTGAGAACAGTGGCACACTCAGAAGCACTGCAGCTCCACGCCTTATCTCTTGGTTTTCCTGGGGTCCTCATGCAAGTAACTGAATACAGGCCTGGTTGTATTCAGAATTCAAATTGCTCAAACACCCTCCACTGGGACTCTGGAGGGGGAAATCTTTTTTTTTTTTTTTTGACAAAGTACACTGCTGAGGGGAGCAGTGGGTGGGTCAGGAGAGGTCTGCCACGCCATGTGGTCACCTCTGGGGCAGGCGGGAATCGAACTCATGCGGAAGTGGCTTTAGCTTCTTAGTGCTGTGCTTTAACCCACTGTGCCACCAGAGAGGGCCTGGAGGGGGGAATCTTAACTTATGGGTTCTCTCCAAGGCCTACGAGTGACTGGAAGAAACAGAAGCTGCTCTTACTCTCACTCTAGAAAACAGAAAAACAGAATTCAGATAGTTCTCATGCAGAACCAGCATTTGAACACAAACCTGTCAGTTCCAAGTTAGACCCCCTTCTACGTGAGGCCCCCTGTGGTGAGGACTAGCTGTGTGACTGAAAGGGGAACACAGGTATGTGGGGGCCAGTTCTCCTGGAGAGAGGTGCACTGGAAAGTGGCCCCCCTCAGACTTACATTCTCCCTCCTGTTTCTTTGGGTCTTCAGATTTCTCTTCCTCACTTGGGCCCATGTTCCGCCTTTCCCAACGGACAATTTTCATTCCTTTCCAATGTTCATTTATCTCAAGTTTGTGGAGACTTTGTGGGACTGGTGTTCGTTTAGCTGTTGACACTGGATTAAGCAGTCAGTAATAAACACAAAATATGCCTCAAACCAGAAAAGACTGTGGTCTTGATGCTGCCGCACCATCTTAACACTTCCTTGTTGCTTAGATGAGGTGAGTCCCATATATTCATCAATTCCTCCTCCGTGGAGAGAAATGTCCCACATGTGTGTTTTGCTCTATGAACTTAGAGAAAGGAGCTACATTCCCTGTAGTTACTGTAACACATTCTCATTAAAACAACACAATATTATTTCTGTTATATTACTTCTAGTTCTAGAAATTTTATTAAGCTAAAGTCAAGATGTCAGCAAGGCTGTCTCCTTCCAGAGACTCTGAGGTAGAAGCTGCTTCCTTGTCTTCTCCAGGTTTTAGAGATCACCTACCCTCCTTGGCTCATGTTCCTCCTTGTAGCAGCAAAACCAGCAGCATAACATCTTTTTGCCACTTTGACCTCTATTTCTGTCCCTGCTTCTTCTCTCTTTTATTCCTCCTGTCCCCTCTCATAAGGACCCTTGTTTGATAACCTTGAATGTACTTGAATGAGCCAGAAACAGCTCTGACTTTAAGAATTTAAGAATTTGAGATTCTTACCTAACCATACATGCAATATTCTCTTTGTCACATAAGGTGACCTATTTTTAGGATCCTTGGAATTGGGGTGTGGGCATCTTTGGGGGGAAGTTATTCAGCCTCCAATACTATGCCCCAGTGTCCCTTCCAGGGAGAGAGAAGGGCATATGCAGAGAAAAGGAGGTTGGGACCACTCTCCTGTGGGCAGCTTTGGATGCTTCTTGACATGGAAGCGGTTTTCAAGAAAGGCATGTAAGAGAGCAAAAGGGACAGAAAGACAGGGGAACCATTCCATTCAGTGAGCTGTGTTTTGAACCTGATGTATAATTAATTTTATAATTTTCCCATAAATTCCAACACTGGGATTTGGGCCAGTGTCTTCCTGCTGCCACCACAGCTCTGGCTCAGTGACTGAAGCTCTGCACATGTGTCCAACACCAGCAAGGCCAATTTTTGTCCTATAGGACTCCCTGGTGGCAGGTGGCAGGTGAGCAGAGAACCAAAGACACCAGAATCTGGCTGGAATGAGCCTGGACATCTTCTTGGCTGCATGACTTGGCCTTCTAGCAGCTCACTGGGCAGGGATGTGTCCAGAGCCCAGAATGTGGTTGGCACCTATCAGAGAAGACTTTTTAGAGTATGACATAGTAAAACTAGAAAGATAATCACTGGTGAAGCCTGAAGATGGTGTGGGAGGGCTTATTATCCTCTTTATTCTGCTGAATATTTGCATAGCATAAAGCTTTTCAGCGGTTATATGAGCAGCAGTGAGCTACACCTAGCATCCTAGAAAGCACATCAAGTACCAAATAAGCAAGATGTTCATGCAGAGGGTTGGGCTCAGACCAGGGTTTAAAACAATGAAGCCAGCCCCTCCCTGGTGAACAGTGGGTTAAAGCACATCATTAAAAGAAGCTAAAGCCACATCAGCGTGAGCTTGACCTCCCGCCCCAGAGGTGACCACATGGCACAGCAGACTTCTCCTGACCCACCTGCTGCTCCCCTCAGCAGTGTACTTCATCAATCAACCTGTTCTGCTCCCCACTCTGTCTCTGGTGAATCTTCTCACCATTCCTGCACCTCTGGCCTGTACCCCAGTCCTGTATGCATAAATAAATAAATCCTTAAAAAAAAATGAAGCCTTATAAGCCTCATGCTGTCGCCTGATGAGAAACCACCTGATGGAATCTGGATTCCTATAAGGCACTCTTCCACCGTTACTCACTCGAACACTATTCCTCATTTCCAATCTTTTTTGTAATGAAGAAGATGAATTTCTTTCCCTCCTAGAAGTCTCCTGTCCACCGAAGTAACTCCTTCTCAATGTAACCTTCCCTTTGATGTCAACTCAGCTATGTTGGTTTCCTCCCTGTCTGCTGCCTTCCCAGACACTGAAGGATGCCAGTGACAATGCCCGCAAGGACTTCCACCGTGAGGCGGAGCTGTTGACCAACCTGCAGCATGAGCACATTGTCAAGTTCTATGGCGTCTGTGTGGAGGGCGACCCGCTCATCATGGTGTTTGAGTACATGAAGCATGGGGACCTCAACAAGTTCCTCAGGTACAGGATTGGTGGGGTGGGAAGGTGAGGGGGGATGGGCTTATGGAGGGAGCCGGTCTGCAAGCTTCAGGCAGCCTGAGGGAGAGGTGGGAATGATCAAGGGACCCTGAACCTCCCATCCTTGGGGGCTGGCTGCCCTGGTCATGACAACTGTAAGATGCAAAGCTTTGCACATCCATAAGGCATTTTTTTGTATGCCATGAACAAAGAAACTGGGTCCATAATGTTTCTCTTTTTTTTTTAAGCTACTAACCATGTAATGTGAGGCTAGTGTTAAACTCAAATTCCAGCTGCATTTACTGGCATTTGTGACATTTATTGTCACAAATTTATAGAGCATTTAAGTGGCATGTGACGAGTATTTGAGATGGGCCTTAGTGGGTCTGTAGGAGTTTGCCAGGTACATTAAAAAAGAACTTTATTCTGGGCAAAGGAAATAGTAAAAACAAGGTACTAAGATATCACAGGAAAAGTTTGGTCTGGGGAGAGTGGAGAGACTGGAATTGCCAGAGAGAAGGGGTGGGGAGGGGACGTGACGTAAGAAAGACTAGCAAGAGGCAAGGTGAGAAGGGTATGTGTGCTTGGACTTAATTTTTTTTTTTTTTAAGATTTATTTATTTGTACATACAGACCCGGGGTACAGGCTAGAGGCTCAGGGGCGGTGAGAGGCTTCACCAGAGACAGAGTGGGGAGCAGAACAGGCAGATCGACGAAGTACACTGCTGAGGGGAGCAGCGGGTGGGTCAGGAGAGGTCTGCCACACCATATGGTCACCTCCAGGGCAGGCGGGAATCGAACTCATGAGGAAGTGGCTTTAGCTTCTCAGTGCAGTGCTTTAACCCGCTGCGCCACCAGGGAGGGCCCGCTTGGACTTAATTTTGAGGACAAAAAGAACAGCTAGGAGATCAGGAGATCAGAGGATCAAATGTGAAGACCAGACTCCGAAGAGCAAAAGCTGGAAGGTGGAGAAGATGGTGAGGTAAAATAACACTGGGCAGGACTATCCAAGACTTGAAGCTGGAACTGCGCCTTCTGCTGAGCCCCTGAGGTCATGAAAAGTAGAGTGTGTCCATCCAGAGGTCTTTGGCAAGCAGGGTCCATGGAGGGCGAGGCTGGGAAAGGGGAAATGTGAGCACAAAAGGGAACCACTGGACAATGGAATAGGGCTTTAGGTCAATATTGACTTCGTAGGTCATTCCCTCCTTCCAGTGATGGGTACAAAGGCCAGGGAGGGAACACAAGATTAAATGAAGGAGACAACGAGTGAGCTAGACGGGTAGGCAAGGTAACGTCTCTTTGAAATAGAGTGATTCACAAAGTAAAAGAGTTTGTAGTAGAGACTCCAAGGAGGCAGAGTGAGGGGATGACTCCAGGGAGGATGCATGGTCTCCAGATGCGGCTTTCAAGTCTGGTGTGTATGTATGTATGTATTTAAGAGCTGGAGTACAGGTCGGGGGGTGGGGGAAGGGGTGAGAAGATTCACCAGTGACTGGGGAGCAGAACAGGCAGATTAAACCAAAGTACACTGCTGAGGGGAGCAGCAGGTGAGACAGGAGAGGTCTGCTGCACCATGTGGGTCAGCTTCCTGCCGGGGATCAAAGTCATGCTGCAGTGGCTGTGGACTGAGACTCAACCCCTAGCACTACCAGGGAAGCACCAGGTCTGGTATTTACTAGCTGAGAGTCCTTGGGCAAGTCTCTTCACTCTTCTGCAGCTATTGAGGACCAAATTAGAGTGGAGAAAAGCTCCTCCTGTCATAGCAAATAGGAAGTTTTCAGTAAGGAGAAACCTGTCTTCTGCTAGTGATGGCTCCTATTAGTAAACCAGCTGCCTCAGTACATGAAATCTCAGGGAGGGCTGAGTTTGATACCACAGATGAAGTTGGTGGCCGCTCTTTGAGGGCTACGTGTGTTCTCATCATACAGCTATGTAGAGGGAGACATGGCTGATCCAGATACCCCTCAGTGAAATAAAACTTAAAGTTTTTATTTGCATTAAACAGAGGCAGGAATGGAAGGTGCACATTGAAGTCCTTGGAAAGGAAAGCACACAAGATCCCCTTCCCATTCTGCATCAGAGACTTATATTCCCTGGGTGGGTGCACAGGTCTCATCAAGCCCCTCAACAACCAAGTGGGTCTGAGTTGGATCCTCTGTTAGTCATGTCTGGTTCTGACATGCTCTTTGCTTTCTACTAGAGCTTCCCTCCTCTTTGAGGAGTTAGAAAATGGGCTTCCCTGAGAGATCTTAGAAGATAGGACAACTTAAGAGAAACAGGAGTGATGTTATGGGCAGACTAGCCACCTGCCCTTTCCGGTCTCAGTTTCCTCCTTATCTGCAAAATGGTTATGTCCATCTCAATGGTTATTATCAGGATTGTAATGACGGGTAAATGCCCTCCCTGGTGGCACAACGGGTTAGGATGCAGTACTGCAAGCTCGCTGCAGCCATATCTGTGCAAGTTCAATCCCCAGGCCCGGAGCTGATCCACATGGCTCAGGAGACCTCTCCTGACCTTCCTGTTTCTCTCCTCTGCAGTGTACTTTGTCAATCTGCCTATTTATGCGCCCCACTCTGTCTCTGGTGAATCCTTTCACCAGGTGCCCCTGCACTTCTGACCTCTACTCCAGTTCTGTATGTATAAATAAATAAATATTAAAAAGAAAAAAAAAACAGTATGTCTAAAAAAAGAATATATAGATATCGTCCCACAAAGCTTCTGCTCTGCCACATTTCTTCTCAATTTTGCTAAAGGGATATGCCATCCTGGGAAAGGTACACTGTTTGTATTATAGCAACACCTGTCCTCCTCCAGTGTCTGTGGGCCCTACAGAGAGATCATAGAAGTTGTTTTTTAAACTGCAAGGGTCAGAAACTAGGCAGTTTAAAAAACAAGTCACTGAAGGGCCCTCCCTGGTGGTGCAATAGGTTAAAGCATCAAATTATGAAGCTCTCCAAAGTCGCTGCAGCAGAAGTTCAATTCTTGGCCTCGGAGGTGACCTACATGGTGCAGCAGATCTCTCCTGACCTGCCCGCTGCTCCCCTCAGCAGTGTATTTCAGTACATCTGCCTGTTCTACTTCCCGCTCTGTCTCTGGTGTATTCTCTCACCTACCGCATGTCTGGCCTGTACCCCAGTTCTATATGAATAAATAAATAAATCTTTTTTTAAAAAAGATTTATTTATGCTTACAGAATGCCTGCCTCCTGATGTGGAGCTCCTCCGGGGCAGGCGGGAATCGAACTCATGCAGAAGTGGCTTAAGCTTCTTAGTGCTGTGCTTTAACCCATTGCGCCAAAAGGGAGGGCCAATAAATCTTTTTTTTTTTTTTAAGTATAATTAAAAAGAAAAAGTCACAGAGAAAACAAGGTATGGGGATGAGCACATTGCTCCATTTAGAAATGATATCACATGATGTGTATAGTCTGGATCACCTTTAATCACCTTTAGTGTCATAAATACACAAGCAATTTACTTCTTCGCTGCAGTGACTCTTTGGCCTTGCTTTGTCTTTGGTTGTATGAGTGAGGGGAGGCCGGGTGAGATTAGAAATCTGTTGTCAGTTCATGCTATTCAGAGACAATCACACAGTTACAATATCCAATGGCAGCAACGGTTTTCTGGAGAGGATACTGGTAACCTTTGCTCACTGTTTGTCAGATCTAATGTGATTTGGTTGAGGCCTAATGGCTCATAGGAGAATTATTTTCCTTTGTTCTTATGCTCTAGGTTACTTCCCTAATTAAAAAATGGTACTTTCCATAAGCTTTAGACAATAATTCCAAATTCCAAATGAACCCACCTGGAGGAAGTAAATGTTTCTGTGAGCTCAGGCTGAGCTGTGTGTACACTTACGAATATGCTTATCAACTTCTTTCAAGTTACCCTTCCTGGCTGCCAGAAGGAGCATGGACCTGACTCTCCTTTGACATATTGCCTGAGGCTACTGGAAATTTCCTCTGCTCAGTTTCAGAACCAACTGGACCTTGGTTTTCTGTGCCAAGAATCAGGCTCTCAGACAAAATAATGTCCTGTGAACTACAGATGCTTCTCTGTTTCTAGCAGGAACTCAGCCTTCAAACTGTCATGAGCCTATCCCTAAGGGTCATTGGCACTGCCCTCTAAAGGTGGAGCTCTGCAGTGATCTCCCCTCCTTCTTAGTCCTCCAGAAACCATATATCAAGCACCAACATAGCTAGACCCTGTGCAAAGGCATCTGGGAAATGAGTAAAACACAGCCCTTGCTTTCAAGGAGATTACATTTTTTTTTTTTCCTCTTAGAATTTCTCTAGAATTCCCTTCCAGTGAGGAAAAGATTGATAAGACTTTTTAAACATTCACAGCTGGTATTTGCTGAATTTTTTAAGCATTTTTAAGTGGTCTAACTTGAATAAATTGATGAATTATTATTACCATCATTCCCATCTTACTGAAGAAACTGAGTCACACCTCCCCAATCCAGGGTGCTGAGAAGGCTTTGTCCCATCTTTAGGAATGTTCTCCTGGAACAGGCAAAATGTGTTACCTCTGAGAGTTGCAGGCAACCAGGGGAGTGAAGCAGAAGGCTCTGTGTCGGCTTTATTTATCTTCTACTTAAGAACTTAATTAGAAGCCACTGCTCTCTGTTTTACAGCAGAATTCAAAGAAAGCATCCACAGGCGTCTCCCTTTAAAGTGAGCCTTGTTCAAATACCCAGAAGCAAGCAAGAGAAATGACTGGTTGAAAATGTAGTACCCAGACCACCCCCAAGATGGCATGGGGTGCAGACGGAGGCCAGGGCCCACAGCTTTCTAAGCATAAGGCTGGAGGATGGGGTTTTGCATAGAGGGTGCCTTTTGCATTGGCTGCTAACTTTCTTTGTCGTGGAATCTTTATAATGGATGGATTCTTAGAAGAGCTTATATTGCTGGCCTACAATTAGTTGCTGGCAGATCAGCAACTTATTTACTCTTTGAATGAAAGCTACAAAGATTGCATCCTGGCTTAGATTCTGAGTATTTCATGGTTTCTCATGGTTGTCTTGCATTTCTACATCTCTCTCCCACTGTTGAGCTCAGGGTAAGATCTTTGTCTCCTATGAGGCGTGATTTCACTCATAGCCG